TTTAAAATATATTTTAATCATAAATAATTTTAAAATATATTTTAATCTAAAATATATTTTTTGGTCAATACGATAACTAAAAGTATTATGATAATTAATGAAATTAAAAAAATTAAATCTTATAATGATTATTTTTTTAATGATGCTAAATTAAATATTCTAATTATTTTACAATAAATTAAAATAAAAAGATAATAAATTATGTTAACTGATGTTTCAAATAAAATATTTTAAAATATTATAATAAAAAAATCCAGTATTAAATCAAAATATTATAAAAAACATAACTAAAATCATAATAAATATTATGATATTAAATTTATTAAATATTAAAATTAATTAAATATTTATATCAAAAAAATTGATACAGATTTTAAATTTTATTTACTATGTTTTATAATCAAAAGATTATAAAAATTATAACTAAAATCATATAAATATTCTGATATTAAATTTAATATATATTAAAATTAATTAAATATTTGTAGTTAAGAAATTATTGCAGATTTTAGATATATATTTAAATTTTTTATTTTATTAAATTAGTTATACTTTATCACTTTTTAATAAAGTGAGTGAATGATAATGAATTAACTAAATTTTTAAAAGATATTTTAATTAAAAGATATTTTAATTAAAAAATATTTTTGGTGAATACGATGGTTAAAAATATTTTTATAAATAATTATATTAATAATAAATTTTAAAATCTTATAATGATTTTTTTAAATGAGTTAACTTAAATATTTTAAAAATTTTAGAATAAATTAAAATGAAAAGATAATAAAATATGTTAATTTGTGTTGAGATTTTATTTCAACACGAAACTTTAAAATAAATGTGCAAATAAAAAAAATTCCGTTAAACCTGTCACGTATTTTGTTTGATATAGAAAAAAGTAAGGAAACATTATAATGTATTAAAAATCGATAAAAAAAAATAAGTAGGTGGTTTGCCCGATTATTTAAGGAAGAAAACTTAAAATTTATATATAATAATAGCATGAAATATTTATAATTTAACATATTCAAATTTTGATTAATATAATATTAATATAATTATATAGACTATAGTTATTTATTTATATATATTAAAAGTATTAATATTTTTAATTTAAATTTTAATATATATATATATATATATATATATATATA